GAAGTGAGGATGGACAGTGAGAAGTATTGTCAAATTCTGGAGCGATGTTACGTCCCGTTGAGCAGTAAGATCTACAATGGTATGTTTCTTGTAGATGTTTCTATGGTATGGTGTTTCTTGTCCACGCTAGATGAGTTCATCACGAAAGGCTGCATTAACAGTGGACCCATGTGTATTTTTGCTTGGAAAAATTACAGTTTAAGGATATGGTGTTCTTGTGCAGGACAATGCTCCTGCTCACAAGAGCATGTATACAAGAGCACGCCTAGACATGTGGAACATTAGGCTGCTTGACTGGCCACCGGAGTCACCCTATTTGAACCCAATCGAACTTGTCTGGGGCAACATGAAAACTTTTATTAGGTTACAACAATTCCCATTCCATTTGTGATGAATATTTGTTTGTTGAAGAATGATATTTGAAGATGCAACAATTATTGCAAGAAAGCGAAATGTCCGAAGTTCGGAAGAGTTGAAGAACGCAGCCATGGCGTACTGGAAAACTCTCACGTCAACGGTGTGTGCGAAGTATATCGTGGGAGACCAACTTTGACCGGTAATAACAAGTTGCGTTTTTGAAAAGTTAGCCTTTTTCAGCGGTTCCTGAGAGTACCCGGCGAATTCTTCTCCAACCCCTTCCACGAAAATGCTCACATTCGTTCATTCCATTACAAATGCCTTCAAAGAGACACCATAGCCCACTGTCGTTAGTCAATGTGACGAGGTCAGCTGTTTGAATGAAATTTTGCGCTTCCTTTGGATCCTATATGTCCTCTCCGGCTCAGAGAGAACTGTCCCCATAGAACGAATACGTAACTCGCTGAGTCCAGAACTTAATTCACCTCTTTGATCTTTCAGGTTGAAATGGCAGTATCGTCACGAAGTGGCAACGGGGGAGGTTGACCTACTATTTGAGGAAAATGGGTATCGAAATGACGTGTATCATCTACCCATCAAGATAGCGTACTCCATTTTTTTCGTTGAGATTTTCCCGTCTCCACAGATCAGTCTTGTAGATCGTTTTTTTCGTTTTTTCTAACAGTTACGGCGGGTATTGTACTGCTATTTTGCGATAACCTCACATTTCGGCTTACAATACTTTGGAAGCTTTCAGGATGAATTAAAAGTTCCCTACTTGCACAAATGGAGGAAGGAGAGTGACGAGTGTTCGGGCATTAGAAAGAGCCCACTCTACTTGTTGACATGGTCATGTCTTCATCTTATCTTCTTGCACGTCAGAGCTCACTACTTGAAGGCTCACCGTAGGAGTGTAGCAAACCAGCCGTACAACAGTGAGCCGAACTACACGGGTCCTCTTTGGGCTTCTAGCCCTATGAGCCGGGTGAAATAAGCGAAATAAAGCCATGGTGGTGTTTTGGCTATGGTTTCAGCATTTCAATCTACCGAAAGCCAAATCTCGGAAATTTGAAGCAAGACCAACTAACTCTCAACCCCTTTGAGGGAGCCATTCTAATATCTGTTGTGTTCTCGTGATGCTGGAGACCAGTAGATATACAGCTTCATTGCAGTCTGAGAAGAACGTAACTTTTTGAACTGCAGTCTCGCAGTTCCTAAGTAGGAAGATCACTGAAAAGTGAAATCTGATACGAAACTCCGAATGTTTAGTCTGCGTTTTTTGATGTTGGTCTGTGTCGCGAGAAGTCTCCCTGCAACAGTAGAAAGGGGCAAAGGACATCGAATGATCATGTTGATAATATTACATATCATGCAAGTAGGAAAGAGGATTCCATCTAACTTGCCGGGTCCCGGGCGATTCTATCGTCGACGATAAGTGGGTCGCCGCGCCGGTGGGCGGGGCGTACGAGTTTTCCTGCGTGGCATTCAAATTGTTAAAGGGCTGACGATCCCTTTAACAATTTGAACGCCAGCAGCAAATCAATTTGACAGAGTCGTCCTATTTCAATGATCTTTTCTCCTATTCCTTATGTCTTTCCTATCGAATGAACGATTTGTGGGGGCCACATAAATTTCCTTGCTTTTTTCTCCGAGCACCAGAATTCGAGAACTAGGGAATTTTCGCATAAACGGCACTCTTGTAAAAAAAAACAACAATGTGCACGACCGTGGAAGTAGCGTTATTTGTCTTGCTGAATAAAGATCCTCCGAATTCAATTTAGCATAGATTTTTAGTACGATTCTGAAGAAGTTCGCGGTTGTCGTCGTCAAAATCTTCATTCATCAACGAAATGATGAACTTTGAAGATAGCAGTATCAATTGTAAGTTATCTTCCTCTTTAACTTCGCTAACCTTTCTTTGGGAATTATTTCGGTTGTATATGCCTTTTGAATGTTTTCAGAAATTGGTGTTGATCTCACCGCTTTTGGTGCGCCCTTCATATTTCTTAGTATTTTGATGTTTCTTGATGCAGCACTGCTAATTACTGTGAATGTGAGTTCCTCACTTATTTTGTTACACCCTTTTCTCGCTATCGCTTTTTGTAGTTTTCATTGCTGTGTGGTGTTCGATGTTTTCACGTTTTTCCCGTGAAGCGTTGAACACGCTCAACCGCTGAACCGCGGCGGTTCGGCGATTGAGCTTGTTCAACGCTGCAATACGTTCACGTTCCTTTACTATCCATTTCAAAAAACTACTTTCATGTCATCTCTTGCTCTGGTATTGTTTGTCTCCGGGTCTCATTTCTAAATCAAGTCTAAAAGGCAAATTTCGCGTCCTAGACTTTCAGCAACACCTAATCTTATTTTGTTTAGATCGATATTCTCGTGATGGTCTGTCAATTTGGGTGCTTGATCAATACGCACTTATGCTTTCCTACTTGCGCTTTCATCTTCTTCTTTCGATAAGACGGTTTTATTCGTTCATCCTAGCCTAATGTTCATGGAAAAAGCCCACCCAAGCCATTCGTTGTAGGTGCGATT